TCACCCAATACGGATACGCCCAACAACTTCTGTATTCAAGGAGTCCAGTTCCGCAGGGCCCTACTGACGTCTGTGTGGCGAACGCGTGCACTATCCACCCGCTGCTGACCAGTGCTCTATACCATCGCCGTGCCGTTGGCGCTCCGGGGCCGCTGATCGGACTCTCTTATGATAAGACCAGTCCGACTGTACACGCACATATCGCCTGGCTCGAAGAAACCGCCGAAGAAGGCAGTGATCTGGTGAGATCGATTGCAGTAGCGTTTGGCAGTACTTCTCACGACACACAGCCGATCGTCAGTGTCCTTCCTGCACGTACTTTCAACCTCAGCGAGCCATTTTCCGCCCTGAAGCTGGCCCTCGTCCTTCATCGCTCAAAGTTCGTGACGATACAGCAGTGCTCCTCGTGGGAAGCAGACGAGACTTTACCCTGGAGAGCGGACCTTATTGCTCGCGATATCCTCGAAGATGACCCTGAGACCTCCCATACTGATTTCTCCAGCCGCGAGGCGATAGTACTCTGGGCAGAAGAGGTATACAAGGCAAACGAATCGAAGTGCGTCCTTTGGAAAGTAGAAAATCGCCCCCTTTTAACCCTCCTTCCCTGCCCAAGGCGCCGTGTATCCGACATGGAGCGCAGAGGGTAAGTTCTCCCTGTTCATTCACAGTGCTCACTCTGATCATGTATTACAGAGCCTCTTTACGACAGGGGACGAATGCAAATCAAGGCGGTGACCCACAAACAAGCACGAAGGAGAACATCATTCCCGTACGAGGGAGGTCGGCTTCCTCGTCGAAATTGAGCCTCAACGCTACCACGGATAAATCTTACCACACGAGGCGAGACCCGCCTAGACATCTGGCATGCTTGTTCTGACAGTGTATTGTATCATCTTCAAGGCAGAGTCGAGATAGAAGTCGGAGAGAAAGTGCAAAGACCGCAGGACGTCGAAGAAGATCAAAGACCATGGCGAGATCGACCCATAGCCTCACTACGACGGAACAGTCAAGGAAGCCCGGCCAGTAAGCTGTTGTTTTCCTGTAGCGAAGATCTGCTGATTTCGGATTCAGGTCATCGCAAACACATTTCTCGGACCACGGCAATGCTGTGTCTGCTACCAGATCGAAGTGAGCTAGTAGCACGTGCGATCGTCTCGCTAATCTTACATGTCTCAAGAACCAGCCAAAGCGCGTCGCGGCGCGTATATTCCCTCAGAACCCGTAGGGGTCCGTTGAACTGACCGTTAATGACGTCTAGATATGTGCAGAGAAAAGGTCGTTCTCGTCCCCGTACCCAGCGTTACTTTGTCGTGCGGAAAGTCATTTTCTGTAACGCGCAACGAGGACTCGACAATTGGATCGAGGTACCTAAAGAGTCAATCCATGCACTGGCACCGGTGTGGTTCAACACCCCTGTAGAGGTGCGTATGCCGCTGTTTGACCATGCGCACTTGTCGATACTACACCCAGGTTGTTAGACGCTCCATTTGCAATGAACAGGAGCACCTCCTCGAAGAACTTCTAGAGGCCTATGCTACATGCTCTACCTGTTTCCTGGGATCTATGACCAACAGGGTTCGAGACGTCATCGAACGGTCTTTGCACGGCATATTCCAGGCAGTTCAGTCGGTCCGTTTGCTTTGCCGCACCGACGCCGTAGGGCCTGACGCAGAAGGCGAGGCCGCTGAAGTGCACAATGAGGCGACGCACCGCTATCCTTGGAACCAGCTGATGCAGGTCATCACTGATATCGCTGCGGTGCCCAACATGGCCTACAGGTTTGTTCAACTCGGAAAGATCTGGTCGTGAGCTCATGTTCGTGCTTAGAAAAGAGCCAAAACTGAGATACTCAGAGTACTCCCCTCCGCACTCCTACACACACAACCGAGTTTATCGAAGCGATGTCACTGATCTCTATGACGTGATACTTCCCCCAGCCCCTCGCGGAGAACCAGGATATCTGGCGTATAAGTGGCACGAGGACGTGACACCGGAGGAGATGGGCCCAGCCGCAGCGCAAGATGAACCGCATTCAGGGACACCGGACGGCATGCTCTACCTCTCCATTAGTAATGTGTTCCGAAACAAAGCCGCGGCGGACGCCGTGTCCATATGGCACCCGAGGCTAGCTACACAGTCAGAGGAAGGCAGAGACGCCACGGACACCTGGTCGGCAATGCAAGAAGAATACTCCGAGCCAAGGGGCTACGGGGGCAGTGCGTTCGCTGAGTGTGAACCACATCGTCCGTTCGATGCTCAAGCTCGGGCTAAATACCAACAGTCGATGCAACTTGAATCATTAGAGGACCCTCCGTTTGCTTCTACAGCGTCTCGTCGAACCGATATACATCCATTGCATGAAAAACAACACGACATGAAACGGGTCGATACTCAGGTCCAAACTCCTTCATTGCCTGCATTATCTGCTTACTTTCCATTGCTCGTCTGCGAGTACAGGGGTCTCCTGCCCAATGAGTCGGCAGAAGAAGCTGTTACCGACCAGGAGCGACTCTCGTTGATAGCCTTATGCACTTTCATGAGGTTATTCAATATTGCTCGCTTTCCTATTTTCGGCTTGATCACCAGTGGTTCGATCGGAGTATTGTCATCTGCATGGAATGAAGTCGTGAACCTACCGGTTGGAAAGGCAAGGGACACGACACAAAATGTAAGTCATCTGCAGGCCACGAATAGATGTGCTATCAATCTAAGATGCCACAAACTGTAGGTCATCTGCATTGCGGATGAGCAGGCTACGAAGGTCGACCTCTGCAATCCTCTGGATGCCCTCAACGTCGCCACTTTTGTGGCATACATCCTGGTGGAGCACGCTCCACTTTTACGTGCACTCTTCAGTTCAAATACGAGCGAGGTTAGCGAAGGCTATCTCTTGAACAAGGAAGGTGGGACACCACGGGAAAAGGCGCTTTCATTGACTGCTGTTGACGGCAATTGGCACCGGCCACAATCCGACTCCCAGGCAAGCAAGCGGGAAAATGCGACTGCGAAGGCTGACCTTGGGTCCGTTCCCGAGCAACCGGAAGACTAAGATGATCCTGCGACAGCTTCATCGGTTTATGAGCGTAGAATAGGTTGGCAGGCCTACAAAAACGCGGGATGTTATACTAGTACACGGCGGATCCGGTCCGCATTATGAATCATTTGGATCTTTTTACTCCAGTTCTTGCCTATGGCACACATGCGGGCCACCTCAGGAGACAACAGGGGCGCCTGGAGGTAAGCTTCCTTCACCCAATAAACTGTGAACAAAGTGCTACTACGCATGGGATCTCCCTTCCGCCATGAAGAATGGCACATGGACGCAGACGTCGCGCCTACCATTGGCCAATGCCCCTCGGAGATCCTCTGGATGCCCTCAATGTCGCGGCATTTCAGGCGTACATTATGGTGAAACATGCACTGCGTTTACGAGAGCTCTTCGGCCTTGAGGAGAGCCGGGTTAGCCGGGACTATTTACACGTGTTGGTGATGTAGTTTGTGCCAAGCAGCGTCGGCCGCCATCAGCGAGCGACCTCGGGTCCGCGGTACCCCGCCCTTCTCGTCCAAGAGATAACCGAAATCAATCTCGCTCGTACTCAAACTGAAGAGTGCGCGTAACATTGGAGCATGTTCCGCCATGATGTATGCCACAAAGGTTGCGACGTTGAGGGCATCCAGAGGATCCCGGATGTCGACCTTCGTAGCTTGCTCATCCGCAATGCAGATGACCTAGAGTTTGTGGCATTTCAACTCGTCTGTGTATGTATCCGTGACCGGAAGAGGACCTACATTTTGTGTCGTATCCCTTGCCCTACCTGGCGGTAGGTTCACGACGTCGTTCCACGCAGATGACAAAACTCCAATCGGGCCGCTAGTGAGCAAGCCAAAAATGGGGAAGCGGGCAATGTTGAACAACCTCATGAAAGTGCATATGGCTACCAGTGAGAGTCGCTCCTGGTCGGTGGCAGCCGCTTCCGCCGATTCGCTGAGGAGTTGCTTGTACTCGCAGACGAGTAAAGGAAAGTGAGCGGATAAATCAGACGATACGTTGAAATCCTGCGGCGGTCCAAGCGAGTCTTGTTGTTTCGCTTCGTCATCTACAGACACTGGACGCATATCTGCCAGAGCTTGACCAGACGCTGCGGCAACAGATGGGGGGTCCTCCAAGGGCGCAACCCGCATTGATTGCTGGTATTTGGTCCGTGCCCGAGCATCGAATGGACGATGTGGTCCACACTGAGCGAGAATACTGCCACCATAAGCCTTTGGTTCGATTTGTTCGTCCTTGACTGTCGACCAAGTGTTCGCAACCTTATCACGTTCCACTGGCGCCGTAGCCAGTTTCGGTTGCCATATGGCCACAGCATCTGCCGCGTCTCTGCTTGGGAATACCTCGTCGACAGATAGGAAAAGTATGCCATCCGGTGTGCCCAAACGCGGTTCGTCAATCGCTGCAGCCAGGTCCATCTCCTTGCCAGAGTTATTTGTCGTCACGGACGCGTGCCACCAATATGCCGAGAATCCTGGGTCTAGCTGACCCGCAGGAGGCAACACCACGTTGTACAAGTCGGTTACATCGCTGCTTCTAACATCCCTGTTGATGTTGTAGAATCGCGGAGGAGAGTACTCCGGATATCTCAGTTTCGTCTCCTTCCTAAGCGCAGACATAAGCGAAAGAACGGATCACTCGGAACTGGACAGACCTATAACCCATATCAGAGACTGCAGCGATCTCAGTAACAATCTGTATCAATTGGTCCCAATGAAAACGGTACGTGGCCTCACTATGCACTTCCTTGGCCTCGCCTTCTGCGCTAGGCTCATCGACGTTGGCATGGCCAAGGAAACGCGCTGCCTGGACTACCTGGAAGATGCCATGCAATGATCGTAGGACGATCGACCGAACACTGTCCGTCATAGGGCCAAGGAAGCAGGTGGAAGACGTAGCGTAGGCCGTGAGCAGTTCTGTGAGAAGGTGCTCCTGTTCACTGCAGATGGAGCGTCTGATAGCCTGAATGTCGTATCGGCAAATGTGCATGGTCAAACAGCGGCACACGCACCTCTACAGGGGTGTTAAACCACACCGGTGACAGTGCATGGATCGACTCTTTCGGGACCTTGATCCATTTGTCGAGTCCTCGTTGCGCGTTACAGAAGATTACCTTCCGCACAACAAAGTAGCGTTGGGTACGGGGACGAGAATCTTTCGTCCTCTGCACATATCTAGACATTATTGGTCAGTTCAGTGGACTCCTGCAGGTTCTGAGGGAATATACGCACCGCGACGCGCTTTGGCTGGTTCTTGAGACATGTAAGATTAGCGGGACGATTGCACGTGCCACTAGCTCACTTCGATCTGGTAGCAGACACAGCATTGCCGTGGTACGAGGTGCGTGTTTGCGATGACCTGAATCCACATTCAGTAGATTAGCTATAGGAAGACAACGACAGCTTACTGTCCAGGCGACTGTTCCGTCGAGGTGAGGCTGTGGGTCGATCTCGCCGTGGAGGCATTGAGTCTCGATCTCGACGAGGAAGCCGATCTCCCTCGTGCGGGAATGATCTTCTCATCTGTGCTTGTTTGATCGCCTAGATTTGCTCTGTAATACACGATCAGAGTGAGCGCCGTGAATGAACAGGAATATTCTACCCTCTGCGATCCATGTCGGATACGCGGCGCCTGTGGCAGGGAAGGGGGGTTAAAAGGGGGCGATTTTCTACTTTCCAAAGGACGCACTTTGATTCGTTTGCCTTGTATACCTCTTCTGCCCAGAGCGCTATCGCCTCGCGGCTGGAGAAATCAGCATGAGGGGTCTGAGGGTCATCTTCGAGGATATCGCGAGCACAGAGGTCCGCTCTCCAGGGTAAAGTCTCGTCTGCTTCCCACGAGGAGCACTGCTGTATCGTCACGAACTTTGAGCGATGAAGGACGAGGGCCAGCTTCAGGGCGGAAAATGGCTCGCTGAGGTTGAAAGTACGTGCAGGAAGGACACTGACGATCGGCTGTGTGTCGTGAGAAGTACTGCCAAACGCTACTGCAATCGATCTCACCAGATCACTGCCTTCTTCGGCGGTTTCTTCGAGCCAGGCGATATGTGCGTGTACAGTCGGACTGGTCTTATCATAAGAGAGTCCGATCAGCGGCCCCGGAGCGCCAACGGCACGGCGATGGTATAGAGCACTGGTCAGCAGCGGGTGGATAGTGCACGCGTTCGCCACACAGACGTCAGTAGGGCCCTGCGGAACTGGACTCCTTGAATACAGAAGTTGTTGGGCGTATCCGTATTGGGTGACCC